AATGGGACATTTGCAGATAATTAACTTATCGGATATAAGCAATCTCCTCAATAACATCTCAGCTTTGTTCTGCCTGACTGCTATTTTTTAAGAGCGTGGGAACTGTTGAAAACAAAGAATATTGCCAATTTAATTATGACCTAAAGACAGGAATCGAATAGAACCTGAACGGTTCAACTAAATATTGAACATAAGAAAGGGGTAAATGAAGCTTCTATATAGTGGGTAGCCTCTAAAAGATTAAATCGAAAACCTCTGGGTGATGATAAGCAATTGCCAGGTTGAAAGACAAGAATACTGAAACCACAGTCGAACCTGTTTATCAACCGCACTACTCTTTGTAAAGGCCTTTGCGCAGGTTTTCTAATCCCCATTGTTGTGTTCTGATTCAGCCAATGGCTCATTCAGGATACACTCACACTTTCATACAATCACGTTACTTGATAACAGTACCTTTGCATTACTATCGAGAACGTTCTTTCAAACGTATTAAATCGATTTCGGTAATTTCTTTTTGAATGAGTTGAGGTATCTTTGCGCAATCATTATGGACAAATATGACGGGATCATTCTCGTTGTTTTTCTTTGCTGTACAATACAGAATCGTTTTCATTGGTAGGATGTTTTTCTTTGCTGTACAATACAGAATCGTTTTCATTGGTAGGATAACTCTGTCTTCGTGAATTTTGTCAATGGTCTTACTCCATATCTAATCCTGCTTTTTCTAGTTGCCTTTACTAAATTAGGATAAAAAATGTTGAAATGGGAACAAAAGAGGAAGCTCTAAAATGAAACTGGTCTAATTTTCATCTCAGCTCTCTTGACGGAGTAGTAGTGTCCTATCCAGTGACGCCAAATGACTCCATCGGCATAAGATGAGTGCTTCCCACGGTGATAAAGTCCATTCAAGTTAGAGTGATGACAGTCCTCGTACCACCAGGCTCCTTTAAAAGTCACAGCACAATGACCACCCCAGCTGTCATTGTCCTGATCTTTGGTTGAAAAGAAATAGCCACGGTGAAGAGAAAGTGAATCACCAGCAGTTCCTGAAGTAAAACCCAAGAAGTCTAAACATATTTTGATAATGACTGTGTTGCACGGGTAAATGCAATTTCAGCTTAATCAATTATACTGTAACATCACAGAAATAAGACGTAAAGGGTTGTGCGTGAGTTGGCGCTGCAAAGCGCGGAATCGTGTTTTTATCTCGTTCAATTATCCAATTTCATCATTTCTAAGAACACTACAACCATGAATTAAACTAAATGCCTCTGGTACAATGTTTTTCATTACGGACTTCCCACCTGATAAATAATACGCATATTTGTAAAAAAGACCAATTTAAGATTTCTACCATGTTTTAAACCGTAATTAATGAGAACCAATATCAACATCACATGCAGAGGTCCACTATAAAGTACAAATTCTTGTATCAACAAGGATGACAAACCTCGTTCACT